TCGTCAGTATCAAAGAGTGCTAGGTTTCATGGCATCAGCAGCCACGGTGATCCCTTTGGGCTTGTTGCACATGAGACCGTTTCAGTTGTGGCTCAGAGCCTGAGGATTTCATCCAAGGGCCAATCCTCAAAGGCTAATAAAAGTGACATGCCGCGGGCTTCGTACACTAACTATGTGGCTCAGACCCCGGTTTCTCGCCTTGGGTCCCACTCTAGGGGCGCCTTGTTGTCGCAGACTGCTAACGACAGACGCCTCCCTGACGGGCTGGGGAGCGGTCTTAAGTGGTCGTCCAGATTGGCACATCTACTGCCTCGAGCTGACGGCTGTATTTCTGGCCCTGAAATAGTTTCTCCCTCAATTGAGGGGCTGTCATGTCCTAGTGCGGGTGGACAATACAGCGACAGTCTCTTACATAAATCACCAGGGAGGTCTGCGCTCACGCAATCTGATCAGAATACCGAGACAGATTATTCTCTGGGCCCGGGACAAATTCCTGTCACTCCTAGCAATATATATTCCAGGGCATCTGAATGTGGGAGCGGATTTACTGTCCAGACAGAAACTATTGATGGGGGAATGGAAACTCCACCCAGAAGTAGTGGAACAGATTTGGATCACATTTTACGAAGTGGAGGTGGACCTCTTCGCCTCTTATCAGACAGCGCAATGTCCCCTCTACTTCTCTCAGAGTCACCCAGCCCCCCTGGGTCTGGATGCGATGGCGCACACATGGCACCAAAAGCGCCTGTATGCGTTTCCTCCAGTCGCTCTGCTCCAGGGAAGTTATAGCCAGAGTTATATAATATCTCTCCTCAACGGCTTGCCATGGGCAATTCCGGAGAGGAGGGACTTTCTGTCTCAGGCGGAGGGCACGATATTCCATCCCAGGCCCAACCTGTGGAACCTTCATGTTTGGCCCCTGATGGGTACCAACTACCAACTGAGGGACACTGGGCTTTCGCCTGATGTTGTTGAGACCATTCTAAGTGCTAGGGCTTCCTCCACTAGAAAGAGTTATGCCAACAAATGGGGTGTCTTTGAAAGGTGGTTTGTTGTACATAATGCAGATCCGGTCAACTGCCAGATTGCTTCAGTTCTGGATTTCCTGCAGAAAAAATTATCAACAGGCACATGCCCCGCCACTCTCAGGGTTTATGTGGCTACTCTTTCGGCTTGCCATTCCTTGGTTGATGGGGTGCCACTAGGGAGACATTCTCTGCTCCCTCGTTTCATTCATGGGGCCAGGCGACTGAGGCCTCCCGTAAGAACCAAGATCCCTTAATGGGACTTAGCAATAGTCCTAGAGGGTCTTATAACCTATATAATAACTTCTTTATAAAAAGAATTGGGGATATGCAGGCTCTGTCAATCTCGCCATCCTGCTTAGACTTTTCCCCAGGAATGGTGAAAGTGATTTTGCATCCTCATCCTGACTACCTGCCTAAGGTTCCTTTTTCGACTGTACATCCTGTCACTCTTGAGACCTTCTGCCCTCCGCCGTTCATAATGCCGGAATAGGAGAGATCTTACAGACTGTGCCCAGTCCGTGCTCTTCAGGCCTACATTCACCGCACTAGCCAGTGGCCTAAGTCAGAGCAACTGTTCATCTGTTACATGGGCCGCAACCGAGAGGCTGCTGCCACTAAACAGACCATGCACACCTACACAACCGTAAGAGGTCCAGACACATTCAAGCACGGTGGCCAATTGAGCATCTCTGGGATGTGCTGGACTAACAAATTCAATCCACGGTGGCTCCACCTCACAACCTACAGGACGTGAAGGATCTGCTGCAAACGTCTTGGTGCCAGATACCACAGCACACCTTCAGGGCTCTTGTGGAGTCCATGCCTCGGAGGCTCAGTGCTATTTTGGCAGCATGCGGAGGACCAACAGCACATTGAGCAGTTGGTCATAATACTTTTGGTTAATTTATGTATATATGAATGCACATGCCATGGACACAACACTGTTGAAACTTAATTCATATTTTGCACAAAATGTAGTTAAATTTGACACACTTTTGTCAATAGGTCAATCATTCACAGTTAATGGGTAATAAAAAAAAGATAATCAAAATTGTCATGAACCAGAGTTAATCTCTCTCTCTCTCTGTCTCTCTCTCCCCCGCTCCCTTCGTTTCTACCACTGTCCCCCAGCTGATCATCATCGCAATCAGCGCTCGCAGAATTTTGTCTGCTACTTCTCTAGTTACCGACCGTTTTCCCTGCTTCTTTAATCTTTGCCAGATTATTGTTATTTTGATAAGGTTCGTTCCTGTAGGCTACTATCAGTAGTTACCTTCTACTCAGCTGATCCTCTTCAGGAGAACCTTGTCTTGTCTTGTCCTGTCTACTTGTTTGTTTAAACTGTTCTCTGCCCAGCCATCCTGCTGCTAGTGGTCTCCAACCTCACCGCTGCCTGCATATCTGCAACTACTGGCCTAAGACTGTGTCATCCTCGCTGACTCAAGCTACCCAGCTTGGGGACCTCGGCTGATGTGATTCACCAGCCAAGTTATTGTCATTTGAGTTTACCAGTCCAGCATCCGGCTGACGGCAGACTGCTTTTGTTCCCTTATCAATTAAACTTTGTTTCTGTATCTGCCTTCGCTCTTGGGTCCTCTGTTTATCCTGACAAAAATGGCCAACTATACGGGCCATTTAATCATCTGGTCTATATATCTCCCAGTAGTATGCATCACACTTCCTCAGATACTCAAAACATCTAATAGTAGTCAAAAAACTATTATGTAACATAATAGATTTATTTCCCAAGGCAAGTTCACCATAGCTTTGCAGTGTACAAACAGGGTTAAATGAAACACATGAACTGCATGAGTTGTGGTCATTCTAACTTAGGAGTACCTCTGTGTTTAAGGAATGAACTGTGCAACTAAATCCAGTTTGAACTGATGTCACTGAGTAAATATGTGATCCTCTGATAGACTTTGGCTGGCATTATGTGTGTGTGTGTGTATGTGTGTGTATGTGTGTGTGTGTGTGCGTACTGTGAGAAAAAGATCTGATTTGCCTTGTGAAATGCACCAGAGCCAGTGAGGATCGGGCAATTACACATTTTTATTCCAAGATAAAGCAGAAAATCTTCAGGAAATTGAAGAAGCTGTAATCAGTTTCAAGAACAAATTAAATAAATATAAAAGTATAGTATAAAAAATTAAATGTCTAATTACTTACTTCTAAGTACTTAATGAATATGACAAAGGGTTATTACAGTTAACTAAAACCGTTACTTAAAATAAACATTAACAGAAATAAAATAAAATATTGAAAAACCTTAAACTTATTTTATTTCAACTAGTTGCCAATGAAACATTTCTCATTTTAATTAAGTTTAACTTGATGCACTAAATGAATAAAAACTATATTAAAAAGCAAAACAAAAATGGCACTTTACAATAAGGTCCCAGTTAACATTAGTTAATGCATTGACTAACTTTAACTGACAATGAGCAATGCATTTGTTACAGTATTTATTTATCTTTGTTGATGTTAATTAATACAAATAAATTGTTCATTGTTAGTTCAAGTTAGCAAAGATCAAAAATATTAACAGAAAACAGAACTGTGTTTTAATAATGTATTAATAAATGTTGAAATTAACCTTATTAATAAATGCTTTAGAAGTATTTTGCAATGTAAGTTCATGTATGTTAACTAATGTTAACAAATGAAACCTTGTAAAGTGTTACCACAAAAAGCAATATAAATGACAAAAACACACAACAATAATAGTAATACTAAAACTTAATATGAATACTGAAAGTATACAAATAAAAAATAATTCAAACTATAATAGTTTCACTCATATAACAGGGTATAGTATATAACTCTTTGACATGAACAGTAGATTTGATTTTCATTCACATATCATTATTTTTGCCCAATCTAACTTTCTCATCTTGCACTCCATGTGCTTAGTCATTACTAATGTTTGCCCTTGAAATTCAAGGTAAAACCTGAAAAGTGATATTTCTGCGCCAGATTGCACCGAACGGATTTCCTATCCAAAACACTCCAACCGCCCTCACAGCCACTAAACAGCTTATTACAGATAGTCCCGCCCCAAACTCATACTATTAGTTGAGCCAGAAGTTGACATTTCAGACTCCTCAAACAAACAGAGCAATGTTTTGACAGAGACCGAGCTTACACTCTTCATAGAAGTCAACAAATGACTTGTAGTTGTTTCATCATATTAAACAGAGATAGAAGAAAAGATTTTCAACATCAAGAAACGTTTAAAGGTGCAGTAAGCGATTTCTGAGAAACACTGTTAAAAGTGGATTGGACTGAGCGCCACAACACACCTGTAGCCAATCAGCAGTAGGGGGCGTTTACACTCATAATGGGGGAGGAGAGAGAGTGAGCAAGAGGGAGATTTGAAGAAAGACTGTAGAAAGAGAGATGTCTGAGAGACATTACAAAAGAGAAAAGGTCAGAGGAATATCACTGGAAAAGAAGGGGTATGATCAGGCAAGAGCTTTAGGACCCAGATAAATATTAGAAAACCTTTCCAGCGCTGGAGAGAGCCAAGCAGGAAAGCCTGAAAACGGACGTGTTGCTTCTGCTCCATACGTGAGTAACATTGGTTTTGCTATGTTTCACAGAACCAAGATCTGCTGTATTTTATTGTTAGCTATAGTAACAGGACAGTTTTCAGTGTCATTGTTTATCTTGCTTGTACACTTGCTTGTATATAGTCTTGTGTACTGTTTGTTCATTTTTGTTCTTCCTTGTCAATCATTCGTCTTCACATTATTTTGCTTTGATTCAGCTATGATAAAGAGACATCCTTTCTTGCATTGCGTGTTCGTGCATTTTGGAGATGGAGCAATAAAGGGAGAGACAGATTTCAGATATCAACAGTGTTCCTCAGAAATCGCTTACTGCACCTTTAAAGCCTGTTGGTGTCACTGACACCTATCACAACACCATACAACGTCTCCAGACTGTAAGAAGGAAAGGGACATCTCTTACCTGCTATCTTCATATTCATGTGAGCATCCAGTAACAAGTTCTCAGCCTTCAGGTCTCTGTGAACAATATTGCGTTCGTGGCAGTACTCCACCGCTGAGAGGATCTGCCAGAACTTCCTCCTCGCATCCATCTCGCTGAGCCGCCCGCGGCTGGCCAGGTAGTCTGTGTTGCCAGACAGGGATCAGGTGTTATTGGGTCGTCATCTGCACATCCAGGCAACATGTCACAGTCATGAATTTTTCATGAAAATGGTATGCAGATTCTGACAATGAGCAGGGAAAGGGCAGGGGAACATCTGTTTAACAGTACTGGTCATTGTAGTCCTGATTAAATACGGTATTGGACTTGGCAAAAATATTGCAGCGAACAAAATCTATTTGAAGCTGAACAGCTGGGGTTCATCACACTCATTTGAAATAAATTGAAATGTAAGTAATTTACTTCAAATTAAATTATTTTTATTTTGCCTTGCTTATAATGTTAGCAGTTTGTTGTGCCAAAATCAATTCATGTTCAGTTTCATATATAAACGCGCAATTCTGACTTTTTTTTTTTCAATTCTGACTTTTTTCTCAGAATTGTGGGATATAAACTCTCAATTGTGGGTTAAAAAGTCAAATTCTAAAGAAAACAAATACTTTTTTTCTCATAAATGCGAGTTTATATCTCACAATTCTGACTTTTTTTCTCGCAATTGCGAGTTAACATCTTGCAATTGCGGGTTATAAAGTCAGAATAGTAAGATCTGATTTTTTTTCTGATGTAATTGAGCGTTATAAAAAGTAGCAATTACCTTTTTTATTTTTTATTCTGTGGCGGAAACAAGCTTCCATACTTTATTTTATTTCTATTTAGCTTTAATTTATTTTTATTTCAGTTTTAGTAATTGTAGTACTTCAACATTTTATTTTAGTTAGTTGTCAAGGAAACATTTCTAATTTAGGTTTTTCCGTATAGTATTTGTATCATATTTGTATCATATCTTTATTTCATTGAATGCAAACCATTTTGAACAGTTAACAAAAATAACACTGGTTCAGATATGTTTCTGAAAGGCAGTGTATGTTTTCATAGTATATTGAGCTCTTTTTTCTCAAATGATTAAGGGACATTTATTTCCACAAGCAAAGACCCTTTTAATAACACATTATTTTCTCATGTCCTTTTCATGCATCACAGGTGTTTGTGTAATGATACCTTTTGCTATGTCGGAGTGACGTGAACATGGAACCACCAGCTTTTCATGAATTTCAAATCCAACGAAAACAACCTGTATATTCATTCCCTCCTAAAACAAAAAGCCTGCCTGTCATCCACAGCCGACCACACATTCAAAACAGGACCTGATTGTCAGCCATGCCTGCTTGAAATGCGAGTCGAGCGCTGATAAAACAGCAGTCCTCTGAGTTAATCAGTTGACAAGGGCATGGAGATGCCAGTTGCATGCGTATGCATGTGTGCGTCATACGGGCCATGTAGGAGACTTCAAAGGGTGCGCTGTGCATGCGAATGCGAGGCAGTGTGCTGCACGAGTAGGATGGTACGATATTGAGTTGACAGATGGCTTCACATCCCTATATGGATTGACTATATTACATGTCATTTGCACCCAGCAGGTAGGATAAGGAAATTGAACATTAATCTATATCATGACCACACATGATATTTTAACCCAACAAAAATGGAACATCCAGAATGGAGGGAAATATGAAAGAAAATGACTGGGCAGATATTAAAAACATTAAAAATATAGATATGATTCAAGTGAAAAGGAGGTGAGCAAACAGCAGACAAAAGTAAAAGAGACTGAATCACTTAATTGAATGAATCACTTATGTTATTCACTACATTTCTGTAGAAGTTTATGTACAGAGAATTGTGATAAAGAGCAACTTGAAGGTCATTAACCTCCTCTCAGGTATAAACCCTCAAAAGCAACAGATATAAAAAGATCTCTACAATTACAGTGAGCATTTCAGATGAGCTGACCTAATCCAGACTAATACACTTCAATACCAAATAACATGCAGGGGTATTCAGGTAAAGTTTCAAGAGGTCCACTCCAGGCTCTTAAATGTCCATTCAAGCAATGGACCCATAAAAAAAATCAAAGGTCCAAAATATGAAGTTAATGTGCAATTCAAGAAAATTCACTATAAATGTTCAGGCTGGCAGCAATAAGACCTTGTAAGGCAAAAAAAAAAAAAAAACCCAGCTGGTACAGTAATGTATGTTGCTTCAAATGCCCTATTTCTCTATGTGGCAAAAAACAACAACGTGTTTGTAATTGTAATAATTTATGATAACCGATTCGTGGTCTGGGTCCTAGTGACCTTTGATCTAAATCATAAATCAAATAAGTGACTAAATATTTAGCATTCAAATCAACTTGCAGTAGACCTTTAATGGGTACACAATGTTTGACCGCATCATTCATTTATATGGGCAAACAGAACATCCTGAGCATGTTTAATTTAGTTGTTTCCATCAAGTTATTTTTGCAGTCATTTTGTATTTTGGATCTAATTTTACATAAAATGATCTAGTGGAAGTCTGAAATAAAGAGTCAAGAAAGAGATGTTGCATCTGATATTGCTTCCGGTTCATTAGAAGTACACTGGAAATGGAAGGTTCAGCTTAGTGCAACTTTAATTTAATGTTGTTAAACTGAATGTATGAAGCAAACTGTGAGCTGAAGTGTCCACAAAATGAAAAACAACACTGAAATAAGAGCGCGAGATTTATCTGTCAAAGTGAAATTTGTGCTTGTTTCTTTATCTACTGGTCTTGTCTTCTTTCAGACTCATCATTGGTTCAGTTAATTGTATATATTAAAATAAAGCGATGAGTTGGAGCCAACAGCCTCATGGGCAGCACTGCGAAATATAGTGCTCTTCAGGAGACCCGAGTTTGAGTCCCGGCTCAAGGACCTTTCCCGATCCCGTCCTGCCCATCAACTGTTTGGTTACCCATATTCTTCAAAATATCTTCTTTTGTGTTCATATTTGGTTGAACTCTCCTTTTAACTTTAGAATACATCAGAGTACATTCATAAATCATAACTGTCCCTTTAAGTCTCTGTTAAACTGCCTCCTTGCGGTCATTACTTACCTTTAACTAATAACATTACAGAATTGAAGTCAATATAAGCAAAAAACTCTGGAAAAAGTCCTACTTATTTTGACATGACACTATAAGAACCGCTGGGAAACAGTATTCCACACCATATGCGTCAAATGATGTTTCTGCCGGTGGGTGCCCACAGTCCATACAGTTAATTATACTTGTGTATTTTTCTCTGTGCGATGGTGCGCTTGATCAATTCATTACACAACAGTTATTTGTGTCTCGCAATGAGGAACACACAAACAGCAAATAACGGTAGAATTGTGTGTATTGTGACCCGCCGGGACCCGATGTGAGATCCACCAATCAGAGATACCAACATTCAGGGCTTTTTTTTAGAGATACTAAATGTTTGGAGGTTTCACCATGACAACAACTTCTCACTGGTCTCTAAAAATGACTGACAATAATTTAGTCATCAAATTTAGCACTCTTATGGAAATATGATTATATTTTGTAATTAGCATTTAAATCAGACTATTTTTTCAAATTGTTTATCATAAATCAACATCTCAGGAAAATGTTATGGGGTTTCTAATCAAAATATAACTTTCTGTTACAAAACAGGGCATTGATTGCATACTTAAATACCAGGTCATGTTTATCAGGTATTTTGTGAGATACACAAGAACAAATGAATAGGAAAATAAATGATATATCAATATTCCTAAGAAATATTAAATGGTGCCAAATTATTATAACTCCCATTATTACACTTCTTTGTGTATAAATACATTGTATTGAATGGGTTTACCCATTTATAGCCATTTTACCCACATATTGCATAAAGTAAAATGGTATATCAATTCTTATGCTCTTATGCTTTAGTCTAAAAAATGTAATGACATGAAAAAATACTACATTAAATAAACTTTTTTTTTCCGGTTCTCAGGAAATTCTAATTTAACCCAAATATGGTACACTGCAGAAAGAGTATGCTACTGTAAACATAGCGTCACTGCATAGATTTACTGCTGACTCTCGCAGTACGTGCGCTAAGAACAAAGTACGCGTGCCGTCAAACACAAGGAGTGTATTAACACAACTGAAGACTGACAAAATCACAAGGATGTCTCTGTAAATGATTATCTTATTCCTCTTTTTTTGGCAGCAGCTGTCATATCATATTCTCTCTCTTGCTTTGTCAAACGCAACCTTTTGCCCCTTAATGAGGCTATAAATCTCATTCACTGTCTTTCAAGTATGACTGTAGCGTTACTGCATGGGGCTGTTATGGGGGAGATGATTGTTTCTTTGGTCACGTAGCTCTCATCTAAAACACCAGGACCTTTTTCCATTACAGGTGCCATCACAGGACAAAAAATAGCTTCTGCTCAGCTCATCCATTAGCTTTAAGTGAGTGAATCAGTGTACAGATGGATGAAATATGCAGAAATGTGGTTTGACCATCTCAATCCACTGCAGGCATGCATTCACTGCACATGCAATACTTTACAGCGTGGGGTGAATACATGGATCACAATGAAATAGCGTTTGTCTGCACATATAATAAAACGGACGCACTCACCAAATATCTCTCCATTTCTGGCATATTCTGTGACTAGATAGAGCATGTTTTTGGTCTCCATGACCTAATGAAAGAGAAGAGACGTGATTCTTATCCATTGCATGAATGTGGAATGTTATGGCAATGCAATTCATATCACAAAAACCTCAAATCACAAGTGCGCTAGAGACGGACAGCATTTTCACCTGTAACTATAGTGTTCACACTTGGCTTCAAGTGAGAAAACAATTCTACATCATTTATTGTGTGATGCAAAGGAGAAGAAACAAACTGTCAATGGTGACGAGTGATTCACATTTAGTCAATAATATGTTATGGCTATTATTTTAGATACATAGATAGGTGTAATATTTCTGTAAGCTATCTTTCTCTACACTGCTGTCCTATCTCTGAGAGCACTAGTACCATAGCATTAACATTTCTTTTGGACATGTACCATGGTAGTGCCATGACTTTCTGAAGTACACTGGAGTAAAGTCAATGTAAATATTGTAATAATAAGTTTTAAACATTTCTGTTCCTCATGATGTTAAAAAGCTTTTGAGTTTGAGACTTGAAAAAAAAAATCTAGACAAATACAAATAATACAATACATAAATACAATAATGAAAAGGTAAAAGTTGTGTAAAATAAATAATTTGTCTATTAATTATTTGATAGATTAGTAATAATGAATTCTATTTTTATGTATTCATTAATTATATTAATGATGATAATAATAATGAGTATTATTATTATTATCCACTGGTGTTGTTTCATAGTTTTATTGACATTATTATTTGATTGATTATTACAATTTTTAATGTTTTAATTTTATATTATTATTATTATTGTTGTTGATAAAATAAGCAAAAAACAAACAAATAATACGCTATAAAATAAACAATAACATCAACAAAACTGTGAAACAAAAGCAGTGGATAATAATAATAAAAAGTATTATTATTATTAAATAAAAAATAATTATACTTTAAATGAATAAATGTCAACAACAATATGAAACAACACCAGTAGATAATAATAATACTTATTATTATTATTATCCACTGGCATTAGATATAACAAAGTAGTTGTTCAAAACGCTGACTAGTAATATATATATCAGTGTACCATTGTATCTACTACCACACTTGTACCATGACATCACCACTCTTATTTTTTTGTAAGGGGATGTTTCTTCATTTCATAGCACTATTTTTGCCTGCTTGTGACGTCTAGTGTTGAACTAATGACCATGTGGGCATTTGGTAGATTTCTATAGGTTACTGATGCTCCCAGTTGACTCTGCCAAAGGAACAGTGAGCAGTTTTTTTTTTTTTTTTTTTTTGAAAGCTCTATGTATAATACCAGACAGACAAATCACAATATGACCACTGTCATGATTGGACTGCTGCTTATGCTGTATTTGTGTTGTGTAACTGTTGATACTGCATCAGCATCCAGGCCCAGAGTGACCTAAAAATCTTACATAACATGACAAGACTAACTCTATAAAGCTCCCAGCCGAAACCACTGGATTCTCTAGAACAATCTCATGGAACAAATGCTAATACAGGTAAGAAACAAAAATAGCCGGGCAGCTGATGGGTTATTATCAAAAATGTATTATACACACAATATGCACACGCATGGTCATGCAGTACCTGGTAAAGCTTGATGATGTGAGGATGGTCCAGCAGCTTCATGATCTCCACCTCCCTGTAGATCTTCTCTAGGTTCACCGCATCTAGCTGGGTCTTGTCTATGATCTTAATGGCCACCTGCAATTCAGCAAATGTAAATGTTATGTCTATTGGGCTTTTATTTTGAAGCCACTGATGCATGAATTATTTATAGTTTCCAGAAAAATAAAGGACTGAGCTGCACCACAACAATACAATGAAACTAAATAATTTTGGACCTATTAGCTTTAAAAAAAAAAATGAAAAGACCACTATGACATTCGAGTATATGACTTAACTGTAATAAAGTTGTTGTTTTTGTGGAAGATTTCAAATTAAAGCATTGCTCACAGACTGCTTCCTGTCTCATGTCTTTACAGCATCTTTTAAAAAAATCATGCAACTGCAACTGGATATACAGCTGTTCCACTTTTGCTTCTAAATGAGAAATGGTGGGAAGCTCCATCACTTGTTTGGTTTTATCTGAATTGATCTTGACTGCGGCTCTTAGTCACTCTAAAACTCAAGATCAGAGTAAACTGACCCTGGCACAGCAACAATGTAATACTAATCTAAACAGACGACAGAGACATAAGGGCAGATCCGATTATTTACAGAAAATACATATCAAGCAATGAAAAATTTCATTTAATTAAAGTAAATGAAATAATTAATTTAAAACAGCAACCCGAACATGCAAAATATGTTTCTATACTTATGATTTGCCACTGTGCCCTAGATATCAAAGGTCATGGTTGTTGTTGTATTTTTGGATCTATTAAGCAATTCAAAAAATATATTTTAAAACGTAATCCATGAGACAAAAATCAGAGGACCCCTTTAGAGCCTGTTTTATTTCACAAATAACTTTTAATTTAAATAAACTCTTAATTAAAATGCACACACACATGTACATTATGTACACACACACACATGTGTATGCTAAGTCAAAAATGTTAGTTTATGGTTACACCACTCGGCATTGCAGAAGTTACATTTTTGTTTTGTACAATATGGTATAAACGTTGTTCAAAACGGTATAAAACCAACATGAGTAGCAAATATTAGAACTTGGCACATGTTTGACAAAAACTGCATTTAAAAAAATATATATCTTTTTTTTTCATCTCGCATGATCCCATTTGTCACAGACCAAAATACAACTTACAAATAATTTAGATTTAACAATGATGGGCTACACTCTTCCCCTTTCTTACAACACTGATAAAAGTGTAAATGTAAGTTGTTTCCAATGCACGTTAGCGCATGCACACTGAAAACACCAGTGTGTGTGTGCGTATATTAGGCTACTCACCTCAGATTTTGTGATGCGATGTCTCGCCAGCTTCACAACTGCAAAATTGCCTTTTCCCAGCGTGCGCTCAATATCATAAAATCCCACGCGAACCGGTGCCCGCTGCTGCGACGGCTTTTGGTCCTGGGCGGCCATGACCATAGTTTTCTAGTGATACTGGATAAAGATGTGTGTGTGTGGATGGTTTGGCCACCTTCACCTGCTCTTACAAAGCAATTGAAGTGGCGGGTATGATTGTTTCTAATGCCAAGCTAAAATGCAAATGGGGCATATGGGTGGCAAGGGCTCCTGCACATTTCTTCGTTGTCAGGGCTCTACATGACTGAAATGAGACTGAAATGAGAGCGCATTCCGCTCTGATGCTCGGAATGATGTTCTGGCGCTCGACATGCATTGACGTCAGTGCAGAAGGGATTTTATAAAGGGGCGGATCTCACAAAGCGGCTTCAATGTCCGTCGCGGCATGTCACCAAGACAACCTTACCCACTGTGTACGTCAATCAGCGCCTATTGCGATCTCTACAAACACTTCAACTCGGTTGCGTACATTTGACCTTCAACAAATTAAATGCATTTTATTTTTTTACATTTATGAAAACCATCATCTTCTTCAACATAAACAGTTGCGCCGACAAGTACGCATTTGAATTCATTTACGTTTTTCACAGAGGACTGGTTTTGCCCAATGCGTGCAAAAACAACTGTAATAGTCAACAAATAAATAAATGAATGAATCACATGGATAGAGATGCTCTATGTGCTTGAAATACAGCTGACATCATTATATTGCTTCATATTTAGAATTTGTTTTGTGTTCAACACCACAGTGTCGACAAAGGAACCCTAATCTATTTTGTATACCAAATGGCTTTGCGATATTTGACAACTTTGAATCTATATTTGGGTATCTATATTAGGCTACATAAATGTTGTTGATTTTTTTATTTATTTAAAAATATAATTGTTTTTAAAATAAATAAAATATATTAAGTCTATATATGATTTAAAATGCATAGAATTTAGAATTTAATTTAGATAAATATATTTGTACATTTATTTAAACATCTGTAGATGCGCTCCCCTGACTCTTGAGCATGTTGTCAGATAGCGACCCCTGCTGTCAAAATGGCTTCTGCTGTTATGTTTTGTTGCTGTGAAACCAACCAAATAACAAAAATATAAATAGTAATTTCTGAACACTTACATACAACAATGAAATACAACAATGGATGACAGCATTAATAAAAATAAAGGAAGACATTAAAAATACAAATTAAATATGAAGTACAGTAGAAGAAAATACAGAGGTAGTGAATCAAGTTACTTAACATTCTACAGATTGCCATACAGTTCTGTCAGGACCACTCGTCAAATACGATTGACATTGGCGGTGTTCCGTTCTGGGCGAGAACTCCCAGCGCATCCATGCAGCCTAGCATGGATAAGACATAGACTGTAAATAAGGGGTAAGAGCAGGGATAACAGCAATAACCCCCTTATGGTAAACAGAACAGAACCAACATGAATGTATGCAGATATCATTATTTCAAGATTTTAAAGTAGGCCTACAACATAATTCGAGAATTTATTCTGATTCAAGAGGAATCTGAATGCCAAAATCCTGACTGGGTGAGAGGAGGAGGGAGGAGGAGGATGGAGGAGGGTAATTAGCTCCTGAGAAATGCGATGCTGATAATACTGAAGGAGCTTATATATGTATACAGTGATAGGCGTCGTATTCCTATAGGTAGACAGCTGAGAGTCAGCTGATGCGAGCTTGACTAACAGTGGCGGAACTAGAATTTTACACATGGGGTGGCCACTGCTAATTTCGGGGGTACACAGTACACACACACACACACACACACACACACACACACACACACACACACACACACACACACACACACACACACACACACACACACACACACACACACTGGAAAAGCTTGTGGAAGGAACTGGGTCACTCTGTTTGTGTCTATAAGTGTTGAACATCCAAAACATTTGCAGAAAACAAAGCTGAAGCACCAAGTAGATAAGATACCGCATGTGTCTGTTATGAACTGCTGCATTTATTTACAAAAAAACTCACATTTACAAAAAAAAAAAAAAAAAAAAATATTTTTTCTTTTAATAGATATAGCAGGCATCAAGCAGACATGTCCTTGAAAAAGTTAAACAATTTTATTGCCCATCAATATAAAATCTTATCCTGGGAAGATTAAATACAACATAATTCTTTTTTTATAATAATTTATAATAATTCTAATTCTAATTATTTAATTTATATAAAAAAAAATTGTGTTCATTTTTGGGTGAACTATCCTTTTAATCTGGCAAAATCATCTCAACTTAAATTCCTGAATTGGGTATGTGATTGACTGCCTGTGTCTGGTAGATGCTCTGACCTGTTGCTGGTTCTGAAGTCTGACCACTGACTCTGACTAGCCAGTGGTGATGCAAGGGCTGGCGGGTCTGTTTGCACCTGATCTGCCTGTTAGTCCAGTCATTTTAAGCCAAAATGGGGGTCAACCTTGAACAAATTGCAACAAGCAAACTCAACTGATTTTGTATCCTCAATATGTCCTGAGTAAGGACAAAAAAGTACCAAAGAATCCCATTAGGGAAAGTTTAGAAAAAAGCAAAACAAATATAGCCTAATTATACGCCTATTCATTCTTTTTCTTACGAGAATAGGGTAAAAAGTTTAACATTTAGATATCACCATGAAAATTACTGAGTTGATTACTTACATCAAGATGTATTCCAAGTTTTTTTAAATTGTTTGTTAAGATGGACAAACGGTGCATAATCTAATTACGTATGTGCTAATTTGCATAAAAACCACAACAGATCTAAACATTGGGTCTAGCCAGGTGAAAATGTCTTGTTGAATCTTGTTGACACATAACAGTAAAATACTTAATGTTAAGGTCTGAATGGAACCCATTTAGGCTATATGAGCATTAATAAATAGAGGCAGGAAGAAGTACTTTAGAAACCAGCCTTTTTTAATTATTAAGAGATGGGGTTTGGGGCTGGGTCTGTGCGACTGTTTCTGGGGGACGAGTCTAAGGGAAGAACAGGAGACAAGGCTAAGGAGAATGCAGAAGACAAAAGGTAAGTAAAATAAAAAGTGAATCCCCAAAAACAGATTTCAAAACTTTCCCCTAATGGGATTCTTAGGGACTTTGTTTCCTTACTCAGGACATAATGAGGATACAAAATTATTTGAGTTTGCTTCTGTTGCAATTTGTTCAACCTTTTTTTCATAAAATGACTGGACTATGTTTGTGCTTATTTTAAAATAACTCTGATATCTCTCCCTTTCTTTTCATGTTTAATTGACCCTGTTCAAAAATATGACAAATGTAAAGGTCCAGTGTGTGATTTTTAGCGACATCTAGCGGTTCGGTTGCGAGTTTACACTAAGGGCTCAGCCCACCGCTCACCCCTCCCTTTCGAAGAAGCTACGGTGGCTAAAACGGGACAAACATCGTAGTCTGAGACAGCAGAGAATAGCCAGCGTAAACCAAGTTTCTGTACCACAGTCCATTATAAACCACATCATGGATAAAGTTTCAGGTGAGGATCAAGGGTCTTAATACATAATATAATAATAGTAATCAGCTGATTGTCTCACGAACGTAACCAGCACATTCTCCCCACATAGCAAACCCATAATACAGCGAGGGAGAAGAACCACATGAAACTATGCAACTATATATTTTTTCTAACAGGGTAGTAAAAGTTTAGTTGGCTAATATGAGCTGTTACTGTGGCTGAGCTGGTTAACCTCTTAACCTTCTCCAGAGCGTCGGCGCACTGAAGCGTTTTTTTATTTATTTAGTTCAAATATACTATCAGATTTAATGTTATACCTTGACAAACTATACATCATTAAAAAGATATAAGACTCAAGATTCAGTATTTGACCACTATTGTATTCTGAGAAACTTATAGTGACAGTTATGTCTTAATTTGTGTCAGGAGTTATGAAATGAAAAAAACGAGTCGATACCTTTAATATGAATTATGAGCGTCAGCTGGTCCATTCATAAAAAACACTCCGTGCTGTCCTCATGATAGCGATTCACAAAACAACGTCCCTGAGGGCTTTTAGCTCAACAATGTGCAGATGTGGAGAAATATTGATATATTCTCATAGATTCACATCATATTTCTATAGACAGGAATAATATTTATTGAATTTATACCCAAATGCGTCGATGTAATCATAATGATCGCTTCTTCCTGAGATGTGCTGTGTTTTCCATTCATACCAATAGCATGGGGGCGCTATTATGTCCAATAAAAGTCCATATATGGATCATGAAGAAGACCCATAGTCATGTGACATTCCAGGACGTCACTGAGTGATACAGAAAGTACAGAGATCGCTGTAACATGCAGATAAAGATGTTTTGAAGACAATAAACATGATTGCAATGATATTTGAGTTACCTGTGTTCTTCAAGCCATGCCAGGTATTTCATAATAATAGATTATATTTATAATGTAATGCTAATCGATATAGATTTCATCATCGTTCAGAACACTAAATAATACATTTTCTGTCTGATTTTTTTTTTATCTGAAGCCAAGTTAGATCACAGAAGATTATTTAAAACACTAGACTTGCGTTATATAGTGAGTTTGGAGCGCAAACATAGTTTTAATCTCATAAATGGTCGTGTATTGATGGTGTGCTAAGCTAACATGCTAGCGAGCCCAGGCGCACCTGCCACGAGCAGTTATTGTTTTATGATTTTTTTCTAAATAGGAATGCTTACTGAAATGTTTCAGTGCATTTGATACCAGTTTCAAATATTTAGTGAGAACTTTGATAAAAGAAATTAGGGTTTGAAACCCTATGAATAGCTTGTGAATAGCCAGTCGTTAGTAGCTATAATGCAGACAAAAGAAATGCATATTTAGAGCCATAATAACCAGTCTGGAGAGGTGTAAATGTGTGCAGGGGAGACTGAGACTGAATGGGGCACCACAAAACAATAGAGACAATAGACTGAATAGATGACTCAGAAGATGACTAAACATCAGTTTGCTAATAGAGTCTAATCAAAATAAAGTAATTTGACATGATCTTGAAAAACATTTAACTAAATACAGAGCTTTATACTTATCATTTTCAGATTTTAAATATAAAATGGTCACACATATGGCTTTAGCTGCAGTGCATTTCTAGATTGCTCCAGGGCCAACTTCAATTTTATTTTCATGAAGATGTTTCATAAAAATAAATTTCTAATAACTTTACAAAACTTTGAAGCTATTTAAAATTGTTTTTTTCATTATGACAATAATTAATTCTACATTTACAATAAACAACCAAGTGTCAGCTTTCAAATGAGATC